TTATAAAATTCCCAGTAACAACTCTTCACGAAAAATGGATAAATGATGCAGTGAAAGTGCTTAAAACAGCTCTAGAACTCGAAAATTGCAAGTCTACTCGGCGAGTGGTGCCGTATACTCGGCGAGTAGCTCTCAGCTTGGAACTATACGTGTAACACCCTCATGTACTCACCGAGTAGAGTTTGTGCACTCGGCGAGTAGGCACTGTATTTCCAAAACTAATCCAACTCTTTTTCCTTTGGACTCAGGTTTTGAAATTGGACATTTCACTGAACCTTTCTCTAATCCTTCAGCAGCAACACTCTTCATGACTCTCGACTCTAACGGACTCAATTCTAAGGACAAGACTTCGTATTTTTTTCTTGAACATCTCTCATTCCTTAATTAACCCTCAACAATTTAGTATGCATCTTAATCTTCCATCCCTGAAAAATAAACAACTAAAAGTGAAAGTAATAACCATCCCAACAAAAATAAAAATCATCCAAGTTTAACAATTATTCAAAACAAAACACCACAAAACATAAAAAAAATAAAATAAAGTCTTCAATCTTCTTTTTCCATATTTGCTCCTCCAACTCCACTTCCTCCTCCACCATCACCCCCGCATCATTCTTTCTTCCCAACTCATGATTTAGGGGTATCCGGGACCGGGTCTTGGCGCAATGTTCATTTGCTCAAAAAGGTACTCGAACGATTGGTTGTTATAATTAACCCCTCGTCTGATATCGTCCAAATAGCTTCGGTACTCCACTTGATTCCAACCATCATTATCCTCCTCCACCAGAATAACCGGTGGGTCTACCCATACCCACTCGCTACGTTGCCGTACCCGTCTTCCCGGCTCCTCGGGGATTGCCGACTCGTCCGCATGTGGAATGGAAAAGGAATCACCAAACTTCTCAACGATCCGTGCCCTCATGTATAATGCAGTGTTGAATGGTGGAGCGTAAATGACCGTGAGTGCCCTTGCTTCTTGTAAGTCTAAAACCCCAAACGACCTGGTAAGCCTTGTAACAAACATGCCTCCATTAATATTGGAGTTAACTTTTTCCTTAACCGCCCCTTCTGCAAAAAATTTGGCGATGCAATAGGGGAGATTGCAGAAACCATCAGGAGTAATAATACTTCAAAGATAGAAAATATCAAGGGTTAGGACCTTGTCCTAATCCTTCCGCATGTTGATAGTGCTAGCCACGAAGCGGTGGATAAGGAGATGGATAGGTGAGCGAATATGACCCTCCTGGGCAGTAGAAGGAATATACACCCGGTTGGCAATAGTGTTCCACCAGGTAGAGGCCACAACTGCCTCGGGAAGATCCTTGTATTAGTTTTCCAAAAAAGGCTTTAAAATCCTCATTCAACATGGTGCTTTGGTCATAAATCCCAGCCTCCAAGAAAATTCCGCCATGCTGCACTGTTGCAGCTCCCCACCAAGAGAAAAAGTAATTATGTTGGGGTTGTAACACTCACTACCACCTCAGAATGAGATGGTAGAAAAGAATTCCCAACACAGCTCAGCATACACAGGTTCTTGTAGCTTGAACAATTGCAACCAACCATCACATATGATGGTGGTATCCCCCAAGTTGCACTCCTTTACCAAATATGGAGTGAGCTCCTCTTCCAAACCCACTTTTCCCAACCAATCCCAGTCAACAGCGTTGGGAAAATGAATCTCCTTCTGTTTTCGCGCCTCTAGTTTGTTTTTGGCTCGAGCTTGTGATGATTTGGACGCGATTTGTCGAAATGAGAGCCATGGGATTTCACCTTGGCTCGCCCCTCTCGAAGATTGCCCTCTCCTGAACATGGTATTTGCATAACAACATAAAGAAAACACAAACAAGCAAAACCCCACAATTAAAATCAAATAACAAGGTTGAATAGGCTTCTTACTCGCCGAGTCCGTAGCATCTACTCGGCGAGTAGAATGAACTTCGGGATAGAATTGCATCGGTCATATATAGGGTGCCCAAAACTCCTAATTGTTCACAGGGGTTTTTTGTATTAAGTCAAATAACCATATATCTAACAGAAATTTCTTCTAACATTACCTAATTCATGGCAAAATTAGAACCCTAGAATTTGAGGAAAACCCCAAATCCAAATTTAAGCAAAATAGGGGCAAATCAATGATAAAGATTGAATCTTTGAAGTTAACTACTGTAAACTCATGTGTTTAAGGTAGTAAACTCCCCAAGAACATCTTCTTAGACCGTAAAAACCTTTCCAAGGTGTTTAAGTGCCCGAAACACCTTCCTATGCTCCTAAAAGTGACTAGAACCTTACATGCATGAGTTAGAACCACCAAACAACGAAAGAAATGGCCAAGCATGAGTTTACGACCATAAACTCATTTGTTTACGGCCGTAAACTCCTCAAGGAATGGTCATGAACCGTAAACTCCCAAAAATGGTCCATTTGGAGCCTAAACCACTTCCTATGCCCTAGAATTGAACCTAGCCAAATTCCACGAGTGTTATAAGACCTTAATGCATCCAAGAACACACCATCCATGAGTTTACAGCCATAAACTCATGCGGATAAGGTCTTAGGGCCGTAAAATCTATAAAGAGTTACTCTTGAAGAGTAAACTCCCTATCTAGGCCATACACACCTTTAGATGTTACCCGGGACACTCCTAGCACTTGACCAAAGTGTTTTCCGCATCTTAGGATGCTTATACATGTTTAATTAGTATTATATTTACTAATTGTGTGTAAACACATGTCATCATATGTTTATGGGTCACTAAGTGTGTTCAAGTCTTTACTTGACACCGAGCACCTAACTGGCACTTTCGTTCGATCCGCTTACAACAGGTGAGTTCATACCCCCTGAATTAACCTTTCGAATGTTTTACATGATTTTATGGGGGGAATACAAGTTAAAACATGCCAGTTATCATATCAATCACCTGTTATTGATAACCCGCATGCACAAGGATTTATTACACTGTCAACTGTTTTACCAAGTATGATACTGTAAATGGTTTTCCAAAACGTCTTTACTTGTTCAAAGCTTTTCTCAAATTGTCTCTAGCGATGTATGTTTTACTTCAAATTCAGTTACAATAGTATTCGAAACAAAGGTTTTCTTCACTTATATTGTTTTATCAGAAATTACATTCAAAACGTGTTAATGAAAGGTTTTCAAAGGATTTCTAAAGGTTTTTCAAACTTATTTTACAAAAGAATACCAAGTCGTGATTTTCTCAAGTATAAAGGTTTTCCAAAGTTTTCATCAAAGTCTTCTTCCATGTTTTTTATACTCCTACTTTGTTAGATACTACTGCTTCGTTATACTTCCACTTAGTTAATGCTACTACTTCGTAACGCTTTTACTTCGTGATACGCTTTTACTTCGTAATACGCTCCTACTTATTAATAATTCAACTTCACGATACACTTCTACTTATTAATGCTTCTACTTCACGATACGCTTCTACTTCACGATACACTTCTACTTAATAATGCTACTACTTCACGATACGCTTCTACTTATTAACACTTCAACTTCACGATACACTTCTACTTATTAACGCTTCTACTTCACAATACGCTTCTACTTCACGATACACTTCTACTTAATAACACTTCAACTTCACGATACACTTCTACTTATTAATGCTTCTACTTCACGACACGCTTCTACTTTACGATACACTTCTACTTAATAACGCTTCTACTTCACGATACGCTTCTACTTGCTAACACTTCAACTTCGTTAAATGCTTCTACTTAGTTAAATGTATGCCTGTGCTTGTATAGTTATATAAATAATGTTTAAAGGACTTAGGATGGCTAGTTCTCCCTATTTCCTTTTCTTCGTTGAGATGTGGTCTGGTGGGATCGGATATCCGTCCGAAGGTCGTTTGATCATTAGTTATATATTATGTATACAAGCATAGACATATAGGTTTACATCAGTCAGTTTAGTTGTGAGTCTCTATCACTAGTTCAGTATTTTACATCAGATCTCACTGTACGAGATGCATCTTCAGGACACGGCCTTCTCCGTTGTCTAGTTGGTAACCAGAGTCTCCTGTAGGGAGAGCATGCATTGTGTGTATAGATCTATATGGGATTGACACCCACACACCTTGACTGCTAGCTACAGTTCACGACCTACCAAGCCAAGGGGTGACAAATGTCACATTCTTTCCGATGCTTGCAGGGCGTCAAGTTCTCTACTGTCTATCAATATGGTTACGGGTATCTCGGGGTTACCTCATAATTCATGGCCTTAAGGTAACGTGAATTAACACTGTATTCACTATTTTTAGACATTGCTAGACGTATCATTCATTTGATACTATCTAGGGTCTGTGTCTCCTCTTGTTAGACTGAGTAAGGCGTGTCGTTCATTCGATACTCTCCTGGAGTCTATGATTTCTTTTGCCTTAGTCAGCAGCATTTCCTGCTGAGGCATACGTTATTTTTCCTAATGTTTTTACTTGTGATATCCTTCTACTTCCTTTAAAATCAAATACTGTGTTTTGGTAATGATAATATTTTAGGGAAAATACTCTTTAAAACATAACACTGTCGGGTCTTGGTAGAAGACTTCCTTTAATTAGAAAATATAGGATTTTCTGGAAAGGACTCTAATACACAGTTGATCCTAAACTACTACTTTTATAAAGTTATTTGAGTAAAATGACACTAAATACTTATGAACTCACCAACATTTATAAAAATGCTGATACTCGCTTTCAAATAACTTGTATTCTTAGGTCAGCAATAGATAGGTACATCCCAGGAGCTTTTGATGAAGACAATTTAGTACCAAGCTGCACCCATATTATTACTTGTATTACTTCGAAGTTTCTATGTAATGTAAACCATGTAAAACTATTACTATTAATGCAATGGTTGTTGTACTTTGATTACTATACTGCATATGTTGTGATACTTGACATGACTTCATCCACCCCATAACGTTTTCGTCGTTCCGGTTTTGGGGTGTGACACCATAGTATACTCAGATATGTCGTCTATTTAAAGAGATTCCTGAATAATGCTCTTTGACACTTGAACTTTCTTTTCTTCAATTTTTGATTCAATGAACTTTTCACCATGATTATTCTTTTTCACAACTGCGCTCCTCCAGAAATCCTTGATCAGATTCTGATAAATTACAGGGCAAGTGCTTAAAGCATGGACCAGGCAAGACTTCTTCAAACCATCAACAATGAACTTTAAGTCATTGTGAGCTGCAGGAGGGTCTTCGAGAAAAACGGTAGAGTTGTGGACCTTAGCAAATTCCATGTCTCCCATCTTAATTTGAAAATAAACACAAGTAATCATTAGGGAAAAATTAATTTTGGAAATGGTGCAATCGCACATAAAAGTGTACATAGCCGCACACGTGCAAGTGTGCAGCCGCAGCCGCACACGCTGAACCGCTCACAAGTCAATGTAACCGCACATGGTTCAGCCGCACACGCCAGTGTGCGGCTGCACACACCGTGTGCGGTCGCACTTGCATACGAAACGATTGACACTTTGATTAAACAACAAATGATAAATGATTTTTCATAAAAAAAATTGATTTTTGAGCCGTGTTCATGAGAATTACCAGGTAAGAGCTTTGATTTCAAGAAAATTAGTGGAATATTCAAAGAGTTTAGAGAGAGAGGCTGTGTGTGTGCGGTTGAGAGAAAAATGAGAATGGAAACAGTACCGGTGAAAGTCTCACCGCACACACCCTATATATATACAAATGTTTTTCATTTCCTCCCCTTCACCTTTTTAACAATTAAAACCAAGGCCCATACTCAACCTTTTTAAAAAAAAAAAACAAACCACTTTGAGGATTAAATGACAAAATTTTTTTTATTCCTAAGGGTTTTTTTGGGATGAAAATGGAATTTAAAAATAAAAGAAATTGATTTTTGGGGTTAAAAGTGACAATTTTCGAAATAAGGAACCGAGAGGGACTGTTTATGAATTAATTTCGGAAGGAGTGAATAAAGATGTTGCCTAGCCCAACTGGTAAGACGCGTGCTTTGTTGGGAGGGTCCCGGGTTCGATCCCCGTCGCCTCCAACTTTACTCCCCCTTTTTTTAATGTGCGCTGAACTAAGAACCAAGGCCGCGCCGCACACTCCCTGGCCGCACTCCTGAGCCGCACACCTTCAACCTTCAACTGGGCCGCACACCTTCAACAAATTCGCGAAAAAAACGACGTTTTTCACCCTTTTTTGCTCTAAACCTCGATCAAAAACTCTTTTTTATGAAAAATGCAAAGAAGAAACCCCCCTTAATTTTCAGAGATCTATCCAAAAACACTATTATCTTTTCAAAATAAGATCAAATAAGCTCCAGATCTGAAAAAATTGACGGATACAACCTTGCTCTGATACCAATTGTAAGTCCCAAAACTATAGATCCAAACCAGTAATAAGTGAAGTAATAACAATCAAAATAGAGTGTAAAAGGAGAAGAAGAGAAATAACATCAAGCATGCACAAATCTATAGCTCATAAATGCCAGGTACACCTTTAGAAGTACATACACTGCACTGATCAGCAACAAGTACAATCTGACATAACTCAGCTACTATAAATAGCATCCCCACCAGCACACGAGTGTGCAGCCATACATGCGTGTGCGGTCGCACACACTGTGTGCGGCCGCACACACGTGTGATGCTGCACACATACAAGTTCAAATCATTATAATGATATACAAACACTGAAACCGTAATTAGATCTATAAAAAATTAATGCCTAGCTCAAACCACAATATTATAGACCTTTAGTTATGAAAGTTTTTTGGTCAACTGGAGTTCAAACCGATGATTGTTTGTATTCTTGTGATTTTTTTTGAAGGAATGGTGCCTTATAGAAAGCCTTCAATCCAAGATGTTCTTATGTATCAAACTCCAAAAAATTTGATTCAAATATGAAAAGTTGAAGTTGTGAAAAATGATGATGTTTTTGGATTCAAATCTTCAAGATCCAAAAATTGAACAAGGTAAAAAAATTTGGGATGCTAAAAAAAATTTCAAATGTCATTTTGATATCAAAATCAATGAAGAAATTTTGGGTTCCAAAGAAAAAATCATCAATTTCTATTATTAAATCGAATTCCTAAACAAAAATTATTGAAGATTTTGAAATTCAAAATGATTATGAAGTTAGATCTTGGAAAAAAGAGAAAAAGTTCCATTGATGGTACAATGTGCATCATGGATGGTACAATGTGCAATTTCGAAATTTTCTAATTTCAACCATGGAACATAAATTTTCCATGTTCGATTCATGCATTGAAAATGGAAAAAGGATGTTCAAGTAGTTTTATCAAATTCTCAAGTGGATTCCAAAAAGGTTTTGTTGATATCGATACCTTGTTTTTGAAGATCCACAAAACGAATGATCCATGTTTGCTCAAAATTCGAAACCAATTTCATTTTCTTTTAATCTTCAAGCCCAATCAAATATTCTATTCATTAGATCCATAAAATTTGAGTCCATTACTTTTAATTCGGATACTGTTCATCAATTAAGGCCAATTCAAAATCGATTTCTCCACTTAATCTTTTCTCTCCCATCATTAGGTAAATCGATTATTACAGTCGAAAGGAAAATCAAAGTTTAAGGAAAAATCACAGTTTTTGGTTTGTGTGTTAATTGTGATTGGAAAGATGAATTGGAATGAAAGTGTGATGTTGTGCTTGATAATTGAAGTCGATTTGATTGAAGTGATAGTTACCAATGATTTCTATAAATTAATATGGAGTAATTGATTTTGGTATTCAATTTAATTTTGGAAATCGTTTTTGGTTTTGATAATGAATTTGAATTCAGAAAAAATGGGATTCGACATCAAGGTTGAAACATTGTGGATTTGGGATCAAACAATTCTGCTTGTGAAGATGAATTTTTTGATTTTTATGGTCGAATGATTGACGGAGATTTTCGCATCTGGAACTTTTTGATTCCTAATATCACTTTAGCGTATCAAGTGCTCACATTTGTTTCTTGTATCTAAAATGGAGGTTGAAGATAGTATGTTTGATGTTGGGATTTAGTGAGCTTGAAAGATTGAATACTCAATAGTCAATATTTGATATAGAATCAAAAGATGAAGGTTTGGTAGATATCAATTGTGGAATCATTAAATTTGAAATTGGATGGATGATTCAAAGTGAGAAATGAAAGAAAATCTGTGAAGGGTCGAAATTGATTTTATAATTGTCTGTCGAAAGCCACATAGTTGATCGAAAATGAAAGCATTGATTTAGAATCGAGAGTTGAAGTCTTGACTTTGTGGAGAATGAGAGTTTGACTATTATGGAACCTAATTTGGAAATGAAACTTTATGTTTCAATTGGGAACAAAAGTCAAAGCTCGGTCAATTTCAACTGGAAATCAAAAGGAGACGATACAGTCGAAATTATTTTGAGATCAACAGACACAAACCAAAAGTTTCAATGGAATTGAAAGTTAACCGAGGTTGATTCACAGGTGAAGGTTTCGAATCGAGAATTGGGATCTCGGTTTTTTGTTGTTGTTCATTCAATTGTTACAGAAAGTTGTTATCTTGTAGTCGAAAATGGAATTTTCCTAGATAGTTGAGAGTGCATTTGATTAGAGATAGCTTCTAAGTCGAACGTAAATGAGTCGAGTGAAGTTTCGATTGTATTGCTCATGCTTTCATTTCTAGAAGGAATTGGTGAAGAAGATAGGAATTTTCATGTGTGGTCCCTGGAGTTTTAGTGAATATGCAGTTTATACTTCGTTTTGATATTAAGAGGTGTTTTTGCAATTGGAGAAAAGAGGAAAGATATTTCGCATATGATCCCTGCAGTTTATACAGAACTGACACTTTATACCCACTTTCTTATTTGGGGTAAAGTTTCGCATTTGAAGCTAATTTTTCGCAATTAGTTAGAAATTATTGCAAAAATCACCCAAAAGTCGAAATTTTAACAACCCTTGAAATTTTTTCTTAGCTTTTCTTGATTGTTTTTGGTTCAAGATTTTTTGTCGTATATGAACAATGTGTGTTCATTTTCAAGTTCGGGAAGTCAAAATTTTGAAGACATCGAGGGTGAGGTTCATATGGATTAGTCCTTGAGGGGTTCTCATACCCTTATGGGTTTTATAATCATTTGTTGATTATAAAAAGGGGAGAAAATTGAAATGGGTAATAGAAGATTATTGCATATTGTTTTTCAAAGCAGATTTGAAGACTGGTGTTACATCGACGGGGAGTTGGTCTTTATAGCTTGCAGCTCGTTTGGATATTGAAGTCGGGACATCCAATCCTAAATTTGAGGGCGAGAATGTTAGGGTTCAAAGTTCTCCTTGGATGTGGCTTACCCTCTTTGATTGTGTAATGGGTTGAGCTTTTCCTATAGATAGGAAATGAGTAGCTCCTATATAGGTAAGAACCCATTTGAGAGAATAATCTACTGAAAGGATTATTACATAGCCCACTTTGTAATATATATCTTACTAGATTAATGAGAGCTTTAAAGTATTTTATTTACTTTTGGTGTTCTTGATATGATTTGATTCAAATTATCATTATAATCCACATTCTTCATCATAATCGGGTCACTACATTTTGTTGTGTTAGAACTAGATTTGCTAGTATTATGTGGGATAATTTGATGTGAATTTAAAGGTTTGGTTTAGCTAATTTGGTATAGTATATTTGTAGCTTCTCAGTTCTACTGAAATCATGAGACAAAAATATGAACTTATGTTGTTTGAGAGACATAAAATGTTATGCATCGTGTACTTGAAATGTATCAAGGAAAATTAGGTAGTCATTGCACTCTAGACTAATGCCTTTAACCAATAAATGTTGAGGTTAAGTTCCATTTCTTAAGCATATATTTTTGTTTTAGTTTTTTAGTTGAGTGAAAAAGTGAGTTATGAAAAAAAAAGGAAAAAGAAAGTGAAAAAGAAAAAAAAAATTGACAAAATAGAAAGAAAAAAAAAGAAAAATTGTCAAAATTTGTGGAGTGAATAAGCGCTATCAAAATATGAAGATATTAAAGAAGTGAAGAAATAAGGCAAAAATTGCAAAAATCAGAAGTCGTATTATTCATAGTTATAATTTTGCTTTCTAGGTTATTTTGTCATATACATTCTTTGGAACTTAAAAAAAATTACCTTGAGGTTAAGAAAGTCTTCTGAGGATGTATTCAAAGGGATATAGAAATGAGTTTAGTTCAAAATAACTAGGTAACATTTATGAGGATTGTGAGTACTTAGGATCTTGACACAAATATATGTATTGATGCGAGACATAGTTGGTGAATTCAAATTGGATTGTAACGACCTAATTTTT